AACTGCCCCGGAGTATTTCATTGTCTTCTGAAAGTGTTTATAATAATTCTCGTTGACTGTCTCAACTCCCACCGATCAGCTGTAGAGTTGTTTGCAGCCCGAACCCGCTCAACAAAATATTTATTCACCGCACAAGCGTGAGCTGTTTTATCTATTCTTAGGCACTTTTCTCTCCTCCCTGGGGCAGGACAGTCTTGCCCGGTCTGCGTACGGCGTCTGGGACAAAATCACGTCCCGGGTTTCTTTGTTGGTTCCGGAAGAACAGGCCCAGTACACACAAAGAAGCCTGCTTTCCGGCTCCACAAAAATGAAACTGCAGGATGAAAAAAAATTGCGTTGCAAGGGGGGAAAAAAAAAAAAAAAAACAAAAAACAAACAACCCGAAAAAACAGGAAGAACAGAAATGTCTTTTGTGCACTGGTTGTAGCCCTTATGGGAATGTCGCTGACCATGACAGTCTGCTGTTCCTCCAGCCCTGGCCTTGTTTTACCCCGTTCTCTTCTGGGAGGGATTTGAGCTGCTGGTCTTGACCCAGCTATGATCAGCTGAAGTGTCTTTGTGCTGTCGGGGGCTTAGCGGGAGGCAGCTCGCAGGGGGGCACAGGACCCCGTGGGCCAAATACCTGAGAGGAGTCAAAGACCTGGATAAAGCTCCGTGTGCTCATAAAAGCAACGGGGAACCCGGCCCACAGGGTCACCAAAAAATTGTGCTGTGTTCTCATTCCTCCAGAAGTAACCGCCTGTGGAGGCCTTTGATGTCAGAGATCCTGGCAGACTCCAGCTCATAAAGATTCAGGAAAGAAACCAGCAATTACCTGGATGCTAATGAGAGCTGTGAATCCACACATGCAGAGAAATCCGCAGCGGTTAAAGCAACACGCTGCTGGCTCGCTGCATGTGATTGGCGTTAGCTTCAAATCTCAGGCCCCCCCCCCAAAAATTCCCCTCTGTCTTAGCAGGTTTGAGAGGGAGGGGAACCCCGCAGAGGGACACTGCCAGAGGCCCACGCCACCAGAGATCGGACTGCATCACGACATGATTTTGCAAGTACACATTTTCTTTGGGTCTGGCAGTACGCTGTTCAAACAACTGCACGATCTTAGAGAAAAGCTGGAATTTTCTATTAAACGCTGCGGGGCTAGAGGGAAGTAGGTGCATTCAGCACAACCTTCTTCCAAGTGGTACGTGAGCAAAGAGGCAGGCAGCGGCAAAGTTTACCCTTGCTTCACTTGCTCTTGGTGTTTCTAGGCCAGCCCAAATACTCTGATGGCAAGAAATAAGCACGGCAAAAATGTGAAACCACCCCTAGAATAATTTAAAAGTCCTTTAAAAAGAAGTATGTATGCGTTTATTTACTGCATTGTAACTGCAACATTAAATACGACTTTATTTTCATTACAAAAAAGGACACATGCAATAAAATACGCTGATTTTATAATCTGATTCAGTATAGTTCACTGGTAACAGCGGAGCATCACAAAGGAGTCGCAAGGCTAGGGCTTGGGGCGACGGATTTCCAGTCTCTTTATCTTTCTTGCAAACAGCAAAGCCGCATCGTATTTTACTGGTCATCAAGAGAAAAACTTTTGGAATAATGTGGCCTGATCGCAGAAGATCCCAGCTGCCCCTTAACTCCCCAGTGAAGTCCCGCAGAATCAGATTTTTTTTTTTTTTTTTTTTTTCCACTTGAGAAAATACTGTGATTCTGACAAGGTTGAGGAACAGACAGTATTTTCCAGGCAGGAGAGCAGAAATTCTCCCGTGTTACACCACAGCCAAGGTACGAAGCGAGGGCCTCTGCTTCTCAGGTGCACAGAAGCCAAGGCTGTGAGTTCCTCTGACGATCGTTCCGAAGAATGAAATCAGGCCATTTTCTAAAATATTTCACTGAAGCTTTCTATCATTTTCATCTGCGCGTGGGGCTTCAATCGAGTTAATCTGGCATTTCAGCTATGGAATAAATCCAGAATAAACAGGAGGGGTCCACGGCGCAGAAAAGAACACAAAAAGTTGTCCTGAAATACTCAAAATATAGCCTCTTAACTAGTTAAAAGGCCCTGTTCTTCATTAGAAAAGGGCCTTACTCTATCACTGCTATTCACAAATCACAGGCTCTTATTTTTACTATTTCCTGTGAAATTTCATGGGAGTACTCGTGAAATAAGGTCCTGAACGGTGTGAATAAACTGGAGAATCAGGCCCCCAAATGGCACCATTTCCAGGGTAAATTCTCCTGACTTTCAGCCGAGACTTTTTAGGCAGCGTCACGTAACGCTGTCCAGCCTTTCGACACAATGACCTGATTTCTCTCCGTACATCTTGCGTGGCATCATGCTAAGGATGGCTTAGCTCTGACAATTTCAGTAAAACATACAGTCAGTCTTTTTATGCAGCCGCATTTTTACACAATTTCACAGAGTCAGTATACAGAAGCCCACAGCTTTTTGAGATAATTCTAGCAAGTAGGAACATATATATGAAAACGAAGTTTCAAAACTACGTGGAAATCTGTAGAATAAAATATATATCTATATATAATTTCCCAACACAAGCAACTGGCAGTTTAGAAAAATACGATTGTGACAGTCTTTCTGAATCAGTAATTGTAAAAAGAAAGGATTTAAAAAATAAGTTCAGCTTTTCAAAAAGCCGTATCTTTAATAAGAAAATAGACTGGTCCGCGTTTCCCTGAATAAGCCGGAAAGGTTAAGGAAAGGTCCAAGCAAGACAGGGAGTCTGACTCGGGCTTGATATCAGCTGTGATAACATGCACATGGGCAGAGACAGCTGCTTGGCTCCAGCACTGTTTACCTTAGGAGCGAGCCTAATTTATCACAAATGTGTTTAAAAATCATAAATAACATGACAAAAGTGGAACTGGTCCCTGCAAGGCAAGTAATTATATTCATACAAGCAAAAAGTGACATCAATCCAGTTATTTTCTTGTGCCAGTTAAAAGGTACTTTGTACCCAACGGTTACACTGAACAGCACATGTATAAACACAGATTATTATTACAGGCTCCGCTATCAGCTACTATACATAAACAAGAAGAGATGTTCATGCTGTAATTGCCTCTAAAGTTTTTGTTCCACTCGAATCTTAACGTTTACAAGAAGCTGAGGTGGAGGAGACCTGAATTTCAAGCCAGGATTTCAACATGCAAAAAGCAGAGGGTTCACGGGAAGGTTTCCGATCCTCTCCGTTACGGACCCTTGGAGGTGGATGGGAGCTCGGAGGAATTGTAAAACCATTCACAGTGCGAGTCGCTCTCGTGAACAGCTTTAGGCTTCCTCTCTTCCCAGTGGCAGGTGGTCCAAGGTGGGACGGACTGGTGAAACTCAGACCTGCGTCAATAAAGCTCCCAGTCGGAAAGATTCACGTGTTAGTGGCAGGGCACTTCTGAAAGAACGTGGCCAAACGTACCTCAGCATTTGCCGGTTTTAAATTAAGAGCAGAGGATGGTTTGGCCGCGGAAACTTCACTCCAGGCTGCCTTTAATAACTTTTTAATACATCCGTTAGAACTTCTTACGAATTCTGTTTGATCTGCGAGTAAATCCCTTCGGTTCGTTGTAGCCCTGGTGAAACATATGGGATATTTACTCAACCTATATGGGAGTCTTAGGACATTGCTTTAAACTTTTCTTCTAGCTTGAAACTAAACAAAAGCACAAAAACTGATGGAAGCAAGATTGATGGAGTGTTGCTGAAGGAATCCAAGCTTGTTTATAAGCCAGCCCTGTGAATTAAGTTGGGCCTGAGACAGGCAGCTGCTCTGAGGAGTGAGGACAGGGCCCCTGTAGAACCCCTGTGCCTTGGTTATATCGCCAGTGAAGAGCAGTGCAGCTTTGGGGTCTCCTGCCACTCTTCAGTGTCAACGGAGCGTTACGTCTTACAAAAGGCAGTGACAGAAAAACCCAACACCCGCGTTATTGCTTGTGTAATTGCTTCACAGTGGTCCAGTGCCCCCAAGCAAAGGAATGAGGAGAAGGCGTGTCGCTGGAAGGGGAAGCTCTGAGGCTGGGCAGGTGGAGTGTGCCCCCCTGGAATCACCCGCTAAACTCAATTAGTACAAACGAAAAGGAAAAAAAAAAAAAATAATATGGAAAGAGCGACACTGAACGAAAGGAATCCATCTGCCTGGACAAAAATGACCGTCACGGTCTCGGAGCAAGGAGAAGGTGTGTCTTTTGCCTTCCAGTCAAGCACACGTACCAAACGGAGGACAGACACACAGACAGTGCATGCAGCATCCAGATACCTTCAGGAACAGCCAGTGCTCAGGCTCTGACTTCCAGGTTAAACTCTTCCAGGGGCTGATCTGGGAAGGCGATGGGAAGATCATCCTGGGTGCTTTCTGCCTTAGAGGCTGAAGTCCCAAGTCGAAGCTTATTAAAGCTCGTTAAAGCTTATTAAAACACACCTCTAAACTCCTCTAGCTTCCCTTTAAGACACAGTTTCTCTTAAAAGCTGCACTTGAAAGTTACACTGAAGTGGAATGTCACCTTTCTTTAAGCAGAACAATAATTAGACTCCCCATTACATATATATACACACACACACACATATATATATATATATATAGTTCAAGGCAGTGGAAAGTACCATACAGAGGTGTTCATTCATATCTGTAGTGAAACCAAGTCTGCGGTGCTCAAGGCTTGTTGGCCTTGACAAAAGAAATCATTTGATTTGGAAGGCAGGAGTCACCTCGGGAAAAATAACAGCTCCTAGCCCTGAATTCTAGCTGGAGGCCTCGGGGGAGAGCGCGGGTGCGGGCGGGTGGCACTGCACCCCCAGCCTCTGGAAATTCACCTCTCCCTTCGAACGTACAGCTTGCGACGGAGCAAAAAGGAGCTAAAAGAAATGGTTTGCTACAGGGCTCGATAAATGAGTTGTGAAATCAGTTTGTTAAAAGCCACCATTTTCTTTTTTTTAGGTTGGTTTTTTTTTTTTTTTGTGGTTTTTTTTTTGTTGTTTGTTTCTTTTGTTTTTTGGGTTTGTTTTTTGTTGTGTTTTTTTTTTTTTTTTTCCCTCCAGCAGCTCAAAAAAGGGGTCCTGACTTATTAGGGTGTATGACAACGAAATTCAAACCCTCCAGGCAGGTCAAGGACACGCATTGGGGAGCATCCAGCCCCGGGCCCGGCAGCACACGGGAGCGCTTACAGCGGCAGCGACAACGCCAGGGTGATAGAGCTGAAACCGAACCTGAACCACCGGCCCTCCTCGCTGATTAAGGGGCAATTTTCTGCATGCAGTAATTGGATTAAACATCAAAACCTGCTTAGAGAGAAGAAGAAAAAAGGGCCTGGGCGGGCTCTGACCAGTGCTAGCGGCGAGGCTTTCATTATTAATAATCGTTTAAGTGGCACCCTCGCGCTCCCGTCTGCAGGTGTGAATATTCAGGGCGGTCCCTGAGCCAACAGGGAAGGCAGACGAGAGCAGGACACGGCCAGGAGACTTGGAAGAGGTGGCTGGCAAGGACCAGAGTCCCCTCAGAGAGTGATGAAGGCTGTTTTGACTCATGGGGCTGAAGAAACAGGCAGAGCATCTGCGGGAGGAACTGCAACAGGGGAAAAAAAGAAAAAAAAAAATTATTGAATTTCAATTTATTGAAACAGGACCAGATTTTTTGCTCCGTGTATGAAGGAAGAACTGGCACTGGAAATGGGTAAGAGAACGGTGACGGGAATGATCAAGGGTGTGGAAGAACTGGAAGAAGCAGAAAAGACTGGGATCATTTACTTTAGGAAGGAGACAAAGCCAACTCTCCTCTGCTTTGATAAAACAAGGAAAGACAAAGCATGGTCTGGAGAGGGTAGTGCTGGTCTTTCTGCTTTCTCGGATTCAACACGCAGGGTTCAAAGAAGGAAAATCAAATCACCCCCCTACACAAAAGGCTTCTGGTTCAAAACCAGTTCTGGGGAATACCTTCGTCCCCCAACTCCCCGGAAGGCCGGGGAGCGCACGGCCGTGGACAGCTCCGAAGCCAGCGAGCCACCAGCATTCAGTAAGGCACGGGTCAGGCTTGCCTCCCGAATCCAGAAGACACCACCTGGCATTTGCTTGCGAGGAACAGAAAACCTCCTCCTTCAGCTCTGTGATGAATCTCTAACTCCTAAAGGCTGAACAGAGACCTTCACGACTGCCTTGCTAGCTACAGCAGCGTTTCCCGCGTCTTTTCCCGGAGCATCGGCGCTTTACCACCTACCATCCATCTGCCACCGAGGGCTCTGATGGAGCAGTTTCTTCTGTGTTTAATGCACCTCTTGCATCGAGGGGTCGGGCTGCCTTTCGAGGACCTAATGCCTCCTGCTGCTTCTCCCGTGACGCTGTGCCTCAACCTGTGCGGTTTCACCTCGCTCAGGCTTCACTAGGAGGAGGGGGGTTGGCTCAGGGGTACAATCAGCTAAAATCTGGCAGTTAGGTTAGGTAGCAGAGGTGACATTTAGGCTTTGAATTGCTCTGTTCCTGATACAGAGAGATATCTATCTTTTCTTTCCAGATCTACTGATAACTCTCTGGTAGACACACATTTGTATTTTAAATTGGATACACAATAGATAAGAAAAAAATCACCTACATGACACTCTATTCCTTCCTGTTTTTGTTTTTGTTTTTTTTTTTTTTTTTTAAGAAGATGCCACATTCAAGAATCTTTGGTCTGTTTCGCTTTACCATCGAGCAAGTGTGAAGTGAATCCACAATTCTTGAATATGCACGTGCAAGCCAAAAAGCCTCGCGCCTAAAACATGCCACACAGTTCCCCGACGGCTAATCTGCTTATAATACAGTATAACCAATTGATAGTTATATTTAAATATAATTCAAAATAATCAGATTGGTTTCTGAATGAATCGAGATGTCTGTACCAACAATATTATCTTTAGTATTTTAATAAACTGGTTTCTGAGAGTTACCAACCGCTGACAGATTAATGCAATAAACTTGCAACGGCTCGGAGCAGGTCAGGGATCTGAGAACTCCAAAGAACATCCCTGGCAGCCCCCAGGGGCTCTGGAAGAAGCTGATATAGCTCATTGGGCAAATGGGTTTTCAGCCCAATGGATAGCAAAGTCTCCAAAAGCAGTTCTTGCAGCTAGCTGGGTACATCACCAGTGACCTGAGAGAGAGCTGTAATGCCTGGCAAAGATATGTTTATCGGGGTATTTATACCAGCATTTCTTGAAAGGCAAAACTCTTTCTCCAGTTTACGAGGGTGAATCATTTAATTGCAGTTTGTAATCTCCAGCTATTCCAAAGGTTTTGTTTGTTCTGAGTATCTCTGCGGTTTTATTTTTTCTGGAGAAAAGAAGACAGTGTACTCTCTTGTCAACACACGTTAAAATAACTCCTGTACATGAACTCACTCTCCAAATCCCCTAAGTGCTAATGAGATGTGTATGCACACACATCAAAGTAAAACATTTCCTATTTAATACTGAAGAGGAGACGAGACGGGAGCAAACTCCTGAGGACCTACAGCAGCTAAAGAGAACATCCTATCTCTTCTGATGTGTAGAGGTTACCATCTGCCTACCTACTGATGGCCATTTTTTGGAAAAATTTCTTCTCTCTGAGGTCCTCAGCTATTCCAATGAGAAGGATTAAGGAGAAGCGGAAAGGCGTTCTAAACGCTCTCAAAATTATTCAGTAATCGTTAGGTGGTTTTATTAGTTAGGCCAGTAGCTTTCTTTTCAGTCCCAAATGTTTGAGTTTAGTATGTAGCTCAGTCAGCACAAATAAGCTAGTACGTGGTAGAAGCGATTGCTCTGGAGATTCTGTGCTAACAGGGGACGGACACAACATTTTTAATGCGTGTGCATAGAACTGAACGTATTTTTCACACAGCGATTTCTGGAGAGGGCATATATAAATACTATTTCATACAATCTAAATGGCTAGCTGGAATCAGAGAAAGGGCTGTTCACAGACAAGAGCAGTTTTCTACCTCGCTGTATTGTAGTCACGGAAAATTCCGTTGAAAGCATCTGGCTACAAAATCAACTACAATTTATAAATGGGGCTTGCTTTCACTGCAGAGGTCGGGTTCGAGGTATGCCTTTGGGGCTGGGCAGAATTCTTACTTGACTGCCCGAGCACTGGAGGGCAGGATTTTGCCTTCAACACTGAAGGGTCACTACTGTGGTCAACCAAATAGCGCCGGAGGAAGAGTTTGGAGAGACGCCCGGGAGCTCTGCTCGGCGAAGGGGCTGGGTGTCTGCCAGCACGGCCCGAGCCGGATGCACAAACAATTTACAAGCTCAAACGTATTCAAATCAAACGTATTCAAAACTGCTTTCGAGGGTTTCGGCACCCTTTGGCAGTGGCTGGGCCTGGATTCAAGTAGTGCGAACCCTCAGCTGTGGACGTTTATCTGCTTTGTGCATCATCCCTACGTTCTTGGCAAGAGACGTCTTCAGGCAGCAGCCCCAAACCGAAGCTGAGCTCCCACACGTCCCGGTCACGTTTGGATGCCAGAGATGTATGAGCTGGGGATTTTACAGGCACAGAGGTGAGGGTGTAGACCCCAGATCATGCGTAAGCGAGGATTTATGCACGAAGCACAGTGCTCAAGGTTTTAAGGGCTGATTTGGAAACGGTTTGACATCGTTGTGTGTTTTGAGGAATCTAAGTTTTGTTCAGTTGCATGGAAGTTGAGCGGGGCAGTTTGTTTTCGTTATTCCAGTTACTGACTTGATTAATATTTACACACACTTCCAGGTACCACAAACTTTTCAGAAAAAAAAAAAAAAACAAAAACAAGAGAATAAAAAAAGAAGCACATTTTGGATTTACATTTCAAGCTGACTTTTGTGATTTTTTTTTCTTTCTTTCTTAGAAAAATCTCACACCTGAATTGGACAGGTGAGGTCAAAGACATTATGGAAGAGGTAAATAATTTTAAGTGAGATAGACATCAAAGTCCCATGCCTTGGATAGTTTCCATTGCAAAGAAATAGAAAGATTCATCACTTACGTGAGATATTTAGATTACTTAAGTTAATGAGAATGGATTTGCTGAGATTTAAAGCAAAAAATTCCAAGATTACAAACAGGGGACATACAGAATAAATTGAATGCAAACCCAGCAGCAAAAGCATGTTTCTAATTTAGGTGGGGGGTTTTCTGTTGTCGTTGTGGCTTTGTTTTTTGTTTTTTGTTTTTTTTTTTTTTTTAAACCTGCCACAACACTGAAACATCAAGGTGATGATGCAGTTGTTCTGTTACAGTCCTCTGTGTATAATTTTTTTCCCCCCCGTCGCATACCCCTGTGGTGCCAAATGCATTTGTGAACCCATAAAAATCATTCAGATCAGAAAGGCTGGCCAGAAAGAAATCTGATGTGAGATTTTGTGCTTTCATAGAAAAAAAACCCGTCTATCTCCCTACTGATTTTCACTTGCGGTTATATTATTCCTCATTATTTTTACTTTCTCCCTGGCATTTTACTTTCATCACCTGGAAAAGCTCAGCAAACCCCAGAGAAGTGCGATGTAGCTACGTCACAGAAAAGTGTGTGCACAAGTACACATACCCCCAGCCACATAAAGCGGGTTTTGTTACTGCCCTTCTTCCCCCCCACTTCTTTCCTACTGGAGCATTTAATTTGAAATGGAGACGTGTGTGATGATTAGCTCCTTGCTGCACAGCCACGGGGTTTTTTTTTTTCCCCTCAGGGCCGGCAGCAATTTTTAGAGCAACGTTGTGGGAACGTGCATGGCTCTCGCACGGCTCATCGGAGGAGAGAAGGAGGTATGTCCTCCGCTGCCAGAAGGAACTGTTGCAAAGAAGGACCCAATTTGCCCCATTCTCTGACGAATTACCCATCTGGCTGCTGCTTCAAAGAAACCACGGGCTTTCCTTTGCTTCCCAGTTAGCTATGAATGCCTTATTGCTCAGCGTGCGTCCCCTCTGCTCACCTTGCTGCTTTCAGCCCCCCTCCGCCTGCTCCCCACACCAATTCTGCTGCCCCCCCCCCCCCCCCCCCCCCCCGACAGTCAGGTTTTAATCGGCATCAGTTCTGCTCCTCCTCATGCCCCCCCCCTTGCTCTCCGCCTGAACACCGATCTCGCTCCTCCGATTTCCACTCTCTTTTTCACTTTTAGCAGAATTTTGGCATTTTTAGCCAGCCCCAGCAAACCCAGCGTAGTCAGAAGCGTTATTAGGAACACAGTGACAGAGTCCTGGCAGCGGAAGAGCCTCCTCGGAACACTGGTAGAGTCTCTGTTACTTGCTTCATTTTAAACCTTTCTGAGGAAAAGCTGTTTAATATGCAATAATACCGATATTGTAGCAGGGAGAGGGAACCAAGAAGATTCAGAGATTTCTCCTCCACAGAGCCTCTCTCCCTGTCCCCTGTGCTCATCGTGACTCCTTTTCTTAGGCTTTATAAATTGTTGGACACCTCTCTTCTCCAGCTTTAGCCAGTCCTCTTTCACATCTGCCGCTTCTCCCTCATGCTGTGCCTATAACGAGTTCCTCCCTGCTGTAACTCCCTATTCTACCCAAGTTTGCGTCTTTCATGGTTTCCTGGTTTTGTTAAAGAATTATTACTTACTCCTTCAGTCTCTCAGCTACTACGTAATCTACCTGCACAACAGATTTAATGTTATTTTGGAGCTTATTTGGAAAACAACACTGAATACACCATACGGATACCCAGAATACAAGTTCTTCCTGCAACATAGCCAGGATGGGAAAAGTAGCTGTTTCTTCTGTTAATTTTTGCTTTGCATGTTGACTACTCTGGCTAAAGGGATAGCTCTCAGAAACGCCACAAAATATGAGGAGTTACCTTTTCTCTCCAGAGTCTGTTAGGTAAAACACCAGTAAGTAATGGTCTCATCACAGTAAAGTGAGAATGGCTTTTAGATTAAAAAGGCAATGGTCAAATGTACTTTCAAAAACCTGATAAATCAGGCATACAATTAGGTAAATATATGACAAGTTGTCATCGTCATTGAGTTTAGACTGTATAGAAATCTGTGCTTGACTGTCTTCGATGCTATCAGTATCCATCAGATGAACAAACCATTACTATAAAAACATCCTAGGAAGGAATCTTGTTTCCAGGGTGGTATTATTAAAATACTTCCAATTTTGCTTTGCTGACACTGAGACAGGCTGCATCCCGCTGTTCAAGCCTTATGATCCATTACCAAATGTCTCTTTATAAAAAAAACAACAAACTAAACCACAAAACCCCACAAAAAAACAACAACAACAAAACACCCACTGCTTTTGATAGACAAGATACAAGGTTTTGTTCAGTGCTCACAAATTTGTTCAGAAAATTATGACCTGATTTTAACAGTTCTCCTGAAATAGAGGTGCTAAAAATATATATATATATTCTTCCCAGCTCTCCTCCTACTGTATTCTACCTCTCCTGATTCAGGTGGGCTAGAGAACACCGTAAATGGAAATCTGGTGAAAAACGAGCACAAGAGGAGGCCCACCCCCACTCCTGCTGAAGTCAGTAGAAACATTTCCATTGCTTTCTGCAATCCCTGCATCCAGATACCAAAACCCAGCTCCAGATTTCAAATAGAATAGCCCCATTTTCCTTTGGGCTGAATGGCAACCACTGTATTCAAACGTGTTTCTACTTTTCCTGCTCTCCGGTTTGCATTCTGGTGCGTGCCCCCATCTTCTCACACTTGCTCTGACTTTGGTTGTAAACAATAAGAATCTGATTTTAAAAATCACCTCAAAAAACCCGCAACAAAACCATCTTTCAGTATGCCTTGATGAAAGATGGTGGCAACAGAAACATTGCAGGATTATCCTTAAACAGTGGATGAGTGGATGCTGGATGTTAGTTTGACCACAGATATGCACTTATATATATATATATATATGTATGTATGTACATACATACACATACAGAATCTCTATATACACATTATAAATATAATAATAAAATACTGTAAAAATATTAATTTTGCTCAAATACCTGATTAAAGTGGACTAATCTTATGCTGCATTTATGCGACCTATCCAGTTGACATGATGGCCTTGTTAGAAGCCCTAAAAATCTACGATGCTTGCAATTGTTAAAAACCAAAGAGTCTTTATGTCTGACAGTCACCTCGTGCTGCGCCAAGGAGCTAGGTTGGAGGTGGGCCCTCGTATCTCAGCATCAGGTTGAAGGACCGAGCGAAGTTGTTGGCCAGCGTGCAGCTGTGGGTCTCCTCTGCCAGGGGCAGGAGGAAGGCCAGGAGCAGGAGCAGCAGGAGGAACAGTTGCAGTGGCAGTGCTGCCCAGCACACCCGATTCAGGAATGAGCACGCGCCTCCAGGGCGCTCCTGAAAGACACAAACCGAAGAGCAACTCAGGAAAAACAGAGGCCTGGGGAGGTGCGTTTCAAATACACCAAATTGCCAGGTAAGGGCAGGGGTTGGGGTGGAACAACCCATGTTGTGCCTGCCCTAGGATCCAGCCTGTGTGCTTGGTACCCTGCGGCTGGCGTGCACCGAAGCCGGTGCTTAAACGGTGTCTTTTAGGAGAACATTTCACCTCGTTCAAGAATTCACTGCTGCGAACTGTTGTCTTCTGGAAGGAGGGCACTGCTGACTTTCTAGCAGAAGAAAACAACGGCCTCCGAGTCCATTTCCCAATTAGGAAGTGGTGCTCGTGCCCAAGCTGCTGACCGGTCTCCCCACCGTCAGCGTAGGGCACCGGAGGTCTCCGTTAGTAACTCTCCTGTCAGCAACACGAGAGTGCCGATGCCTGGGAGAGAGGAGCCAGCCTTCTGCCCCCCGTCAGCACAAAGGAGCTTCGCTGGCAGCTCATCCAGCTCACAGCCACCCCTCCACCCCCCCCCAACCCTGCAGAGTGCTCTTTGGATCCCGAATTTGGGGTCCGCGAGGCTGGAGGTCAGAGAAGAGCAGCCTGGCTCGTTACTTCTTATACCTTACCAGGCTCGTCCTAAACTTTTATGTGATGCAAGAGGAGAGAAGACACAACCCTGAGAGTGAGGAAGACATGAAAGTCACATTTATTGCCGAGCAGCCACAGAAGGGACACATAAAGAAGTCCCTTTACACTTTTCTTTATGCTGGCGCAAATCTAGAGTAGCTCAGGTAACCTCAGGAATTTAATCTGGATTAGCATGACCAGGAGAGAACATATTTGGGGCTACGGAATTCAGAAAACATTAATTAAGAAGTGAGAGTTCCACTGGCAAGATTCCTGGATATCTCCTGCCAATGGGAAGAACTGTGTGTGTTTCACACAAGAAAAGGCCAAGTCAACTATCTGTAAAGGAGTCCTGAAAACGAGGGCTCAATAATCCACTGATTTCTTCAAACATGGATTTATACTCAGAACACAGAAATAGCCCTTAATGCAGCTGCAAAATTAGGTACCAGCCTGCATCACAAATACGAATGCAGAACATCCACTGAAGTGGGACCCACGTTTTCCACAAGAAGAAATGAATTTGCTGTGTTCAAGCCGTAGGTGATACCAGGGCTGCAGCAAAATTAGGGTTCTGGCTTCTCACTGGCTGCTTGACTTACAAGCAATGCCTTTGTCCCACTGCAGCATCACCATTTATAGTCCATGGGAAACATCAGCAGAGAAGACAAGAAGCAGGGTGATGTTAGAGGAAAGTAATTGCACCCTTTGCTATTTTTTTAAGGATCTCTTCCACTGCTTTCTAAATTTCTCAGTCTCTTGCAGCTCTGTATAAATGCTTGCAGAATTAATTATGAAGGCAAGTATGTTGCAGATCATCAGACAGTTGTGCTGTGAGATCCTTCTTCTGTTGTAGTTGGTTTGCTTCCCTTATATCAAATGGCCGGTGCCATTTAATTACTGTGTCAGCAGATGTAGAGGCAGCAGAGCAACAGCTGCTTGCTCTGTCGTTTCTGGCCTGCAGTATCTGAGTTGTAACTTGCTTGCTGAGGCCAGTGAAAGCTCAGGCCCCTGGACACTGGGGCTGTCAGTAGTTAGTGGGCAACGCGTACACGCCGAGGTCTAAGTGGGACACTGACTTTAAGCACCACCAGGCAAATTCCCTTGGAACATCTAGCATTTACCCACAAAATCGCAGGGTCACCAACCTGGCTGCTCTGCATCTGCTCCTACTGCAGGCTGTTCTCAAACAGTAGCCCAAGTAGCTCTACTAACGGGACTTTCCTTTCTCTAGTCCTGGAGTCCAGACCTGAAATCCTTCATCATCCCTGGATCTCACCAGCCCACGGGCTGAACAAAACCTGCAGGGCTTTTGTGTTTATAGTCAATGCTAAAACCGTTATGCAGTTTTCATCGGCTGTTTCTCATTCTGAATTTTCTATTGCATCTATAATATGCAGCAACATGACAAATACATTTATTACTGTGTCCCATCTATAAGGAAAGAGGCCCTTTCTAGGTTCCAGAAGCCATGGACAAGTTTGTTTGTATTAACAGCTGTTAATATCTGTATTAACACATACAAACACATACACACACAAGGCAGGTGTTGGTGGAAGATGAGCGCTACCTCTGCCTTGGGACAATTCAAACCCTGCTCTTTCTTCTGCCACTAAGACATAATTAGACTTAATGTTGTCAAAGGGTAGGATCCTGTGACTGACTGTTCGGTAGTTCATTACGGATGGAAGTCTCAAAAACGTTCTCCCAAACTCAACCCGGGAATCAGAAACCCACCTCTCACTGACACGGTTGGGAGGAAGACTGCCAGTCTTCCTAGCAGCGCCTAAAACTTTAGCATTGGTTTTGAAAGCTACTTCAGTCTGGAACTATTCTTTCACTGCCAGACCAGCCTGCAACACCTGTCTTCCCAGTTATCTCCTTCTGCCTATGAACCGGTGGGAAATGGTGATCTTTTCCAGTCGTGCCTCACCTCTGGTCCTGCCAGAGCCCAGGGAACAGGCGTCTTACGGCCCTTGGCTTCCTGTGATGAGCACACTGCCAATTAGCCACTCACGTTGTTCCTACCCCAATTCTCTCACTGATCCAGCATTTGATTCAGAGCAGGTCCCCGACTCTGCCCTCATCTCTAAAGCAAAGACAATATGAATGTAACTTGAAGAAACGGGATGAGCTTAAAATGTTATCTATTAAAAGCGCCTTGTTTTTAGAGCTACTAGAAGGAGCTGTAAAATAGTATTGTTTTTCAAAGCCCGTCCTCCAGAAAGAATTAATGTGAAATGGCTTTATTAGCAAGCTATCATTTGCTCTCCTTGGAGCTTTCTGCAGGGTAGGATATTCAGGCTAATCATAGCAGATCCTAGCATTAGAAAAATCTGCAGAGGGACGTTTGCCTGGGGGGCAGAACTTCAGAGAAGGAGAAATATTTTTTCGTTATCTGCTGCTTCCCTCCCACCTGCTTGCTGGGTTTATAGGCATTTGTGTTTGATGAACTTTTGCCTTTGCTGCCCGGCTTCTCTGTTTTCTTTGATCACACAGCAAGGTCAGAATTGTGGATTTCTGACTCCATTTGTTGCCATGGGAATGACTCTGCTGTCACAAACATGGCATGATGATGTCTCTGCAGGGCTGAAGGGGGGGCACGCAGGAGCTGTAAGGGTTTGGTGCTTTCAGCAAATTTGCAATGATAAGCTCTTAATATATGAGGGCCCCAACCTGCACACACTGAAATCCACGGGAGATTTACCATTAACTTCAGTGTCTGCAGCAGGATTACGCACAGAGACAACTGAATAAAGTCAGGATTGGGAACTACTTATTCATGGAGTTCAGCTGATACCCTTACAAATGGATTCATTACTTATATGCCCAGGTTCTTACATGCCCACATGAAAGCTACATTAGTTCTGTGGCTTTGTGCTCACTGGAACAATTGGTGATATGGTTTTGGTTTTGTTTTGTTTTGTTTTTTTTTTTTGGGGGGGACATGGTGTGGTAGAACTACTAGATGTGTTAAAGGATAGAAAATTTTGAAGGAGACGCAGTAACTTTTAATAGGAGAGATGGTACAGTTGGAAAAACCAGGGAAGGTTTTTGGGCACTGAGTGTGAAAAAAGCAGCACTTCGATTTTACTAAGACTAAGTCAAGGTATTTTTTTAGGTCTGTGCTGTGAGAGAGAGCTGCTTTCAGGCTGTGGTGATCTGAGACTAGGGCACCAACAGGGAATTCAGGAGGCCAAGGTTCAAACCTCTGCTCTGCTGGGCTCAGAGTGATCAGGGCTGTACGAGTCTACTTGGAGTCAGGACCACACTCCCAACTCTTCAGCGCATCGTTCTGGGTTAGAAAAGGACAATCTGACACAGTTCCACCTTTGCAAAGGACCGCTTGAACATTTAATTTCCATATGAGAGCAAAGGTGGGAACCACAACCCTTGCTACACACTGGAATATCCCTTCCGCAATCGCTCCAGCTCCTGGCATCAGTACAGCTACTACCCAGCACCCACTGACTGCAGTGCGTGTGTCAGATCTAGGCTCTACAAAACATTCTGAAATCAAATCTTCCTCTGAGGAAAACTGGCAAAGCTCCAGTGAAGTCAACAGAACTTTAATTTCCACCATCTTAGAATAACAGCTGGAATACCTGGGTATCGAGCCAAAGTGTCAGAGACGTTTTTGAAACACACATGGAAAAGGAATAGGTTGACATTTAAAAAGAAAATATACTTTTAAAGTTCACCATCAAGGGTAAATGTCCTCCCCCTTCCCCCTCAAAATACCAGGACAAGCAAGGACTGTCAAGGGGTAGACGGCTGTGTTTTGTGTAATGCTAAATGCATGCTTGTTACCAAATGAACTGCACTGGCTGTGAACATTCACATTTGTGCTCGATTCATGTTGGGGCGTTTGAGTGACAAGCATCGGTTTAGATCTAGGGAGTCCTCGGCACTTAAATCTGTTTGCAGTTAATAACTCCTTACCAAATGCACCGTGAAAAATCACTTGGATGGGAAACAGCAGAAAAGCACTTTAGAACTGGCTACATAATATTCCTGTGTAAGCTGCTGAAGTATTTTACTAAAAATCAGTGCACTCCCTGGTTTGCTATTGACCACATTCCAGAACATATGAAAGCACACAGTTAATCTAGCTATTTGAGGGAGCAGAGGAATATAGCGTCTTATACCATGCTCATTAGTGTGTTTTTGCTGCTGGTTGTGTGTCACCAGCATGCCTGACAAAAATCATACCTGCACCACTGAATCAGTGGTCCGGCAGAGAAAGAAGGTTTAGACTGGATTCATTCCTCTTGCCTTAGAGCATTTCACTGAGTGACTATCCTGGGAAATGCCCTGCTGACTGAAAACTCTTGCTCTCCCCATGGATAAAGGGCTCAGTGCCGTAGTGTCTGCCTGACACTATACA